TTTTTTCTTATAACTTAATCTGAGAATAAATTATTTAAACAATGTGACACATAATTACTTAACAATGTACAAACATGTAAGAAAAGAAATAAACTAATTATAAGTCATTTGAGTTTGAGCTTAATTTGAGATTGAGCCAAAATCATGAGTAAATAATAATAAAATATGCATGCACATAAAATCTGAAAATGTTTAAACTCCAAAATCAGTTGTCAATAGTCCAACATTGTTTGATCATAACTTCATCGGAGAACATATTAACCATATATAATATTACTGCATTTTCAAGAATTTATGGTTGTTTTACACCTAAGTCCATCTAAAAATGAAAACTCGATTCAACGCAACAAGTCTCGATGAATATGATGAACGTTGAAGGCTAAGGGAGAATATATATAAATTCATCATAATATTAGAAAACTATACCATATATATGTTTTTAATATTACCTTCCTTTGCCTAGCTTGAACAAGAGCTCCTTCCAATTGTTTTTCAAGATTCTGCAACTCTTTAAGACTCAATGGTCCAAGATCTTCTCCCAGCAAGTGCCTTAATTTTTTCAATTAATTGTCATTGAAATTTAAGGGTACTATATATAAAAACCAAGATTTTCCAAAAAATGATGATTTTAAATATAGATAAAAATAAAAACAATAAAGAAGTGGATGGATGATGATTTTTGCAGGTCTATCATCATCTAACCCCTTATTGGCTAGTGGATAAAAACTGCAATTGAACACATAAATAAAATCACAAATTCTTATGTAAGACAACCTAACTGTTATATATCAAACAATATACGACTCTCATAATTGTTAGACCGGCCTAACAAAAAATTCATGAAATAAAATAGATGCATTAGTAGATAATCTACTCCATTAATTAGTATATGCATAATTAGTTCATAATCTACTCAATTGGAAATGAAAATACTAATGAAAATCAATTTGTTAGTACATTTTTGCTTAAGGAAAAAAAAAAATAAGTTGAATAAGTTGCCACATACAAATACCTTTGAGTTCTTTGAAGAGATTCATACTTGGCCTTCAATTTTGAGACCTCTTGGAACCAACTCTGAAAAATAAAATAAAATAAAATAAAACAAAATTAAAATAAAAAATGTTGTTTATAAATTTAAGCAATTTTAAGATACTGCCATTAAAAAATCTAAAGTCAAAGATTGAAAAAATAGAGAAACCTGAGTTTCTCTTTCAGCATTGTTGTCTAAGGGATTGAAAGAACAGCGTTGGTAGCGTTCAAGGGTTTGAGTTGTGCTGCAACAATAATTTATACAATACAATATTAATTATGTGAACTAAACAATTAATTAATTATTTGTTATTTTAGTAGTTCACTTGTGAAGTATAAATAAAAAAATATGAGGAAAATAATAAGGGGAAAACATTGCAAATTATAGTTATGTCATTTGATCAAGTTAGAAAACTTAAATAATTGTAAGCAAACATAAATGATGGAAGAGAACAAAATATTTTTACCATAAAAATAATGGACAGAAATTAAGGGACTAATGGATATATTTGTTCCCTCCCAAAACCAACACAAAAAAAAAAAATTGAAACTTAATAATAATATTATATTGCACCTCCCTGTCAAATTTAATAACACACACACACACACAAAAATAAATAAATAAATAAATAAAAATACAGAAATTGCAGATTTTATGATAGAAATGCTAGATTTTTTTTTTTTATTTTTTTTTTTGGGGTACAAAAAATCAGTAACAACCTGAATCTGTGATAGAGGCTGATGTATCAAATTAGCATCAAAATATGCCTTGAACTAACATATGAGAAGAAATTAAAAAAAAAATAATAAAAAAAAATAAATGAAAACTTAGATTATTTAATTTGGCTGACATTGTGGGAGATCACATTTGGCCTGAAGAAGAATGCCCACATTCCCCAAAGAATATGTTTCACCAAAATGTATAATTCAAAGCCAATTGTTCCTGACTCCTACCTCAAAGCTGAAAACTTGCTAAATCAAGGGAAAAAAATTTAATGAAGAAAATAAATAGAGAGCAAAAAAGAAAACTTTTGCCTTCATTAATCCCCTTACAAAATATTTGTTATCAATTTCCCAATTTAATATTAATAATTATATAGTAAGAGGAAAGAAATCATTTTTCCCTCATCAAGACCTATATATATATTGAAAATTGAAATTATATATTAATTTAGAGTAATTAAGAACCTGAAAAAGAAAAAAAAAAAGGAAAAAATGAGAGAGAAGAGAAGGTTTTTCAAAAGCAAGAACCATATAAGAAACCAAGAGATCTAAAGGGGTAAAGAAGAACAAACAAAACTTTGAACTCTTTCTTTCTCATGAGCTTCTGAGCAAATGAATCATCATTATTTGTGTACCCCACCAAAAAAAAATTAAAAAAAAAAAAATATTAAAAAATTGAGATTCACACACACAATTATTTAAATTTAATATTATATATGTTTCTGTGTGTGTGTGTGTTTTTTTCACACAGAGACAGGAGAGAGAAACCCTAGATCTTGCACAGAGGTCCAAGAATGGGGTTAGAGAAGTTTCTTGGCATACACAAAAACACAACTTTTAGCCAATTTTTTTTTCTGCTTTTTTCTATGGGAATATATTTTCAGAAATCCATACAAACTTGCCCATCCCTAACAGGAAATCATCAGCACAAGCCAAAAAAAAGAATGCAATCTTTAAACAAATCCTATAAAGATTTGTAAGAAAACATCATGTATATATATATATATATAACAGTATAATAATATATAAGTAATAAAAATGCAATCTTTCTTAAAAATCTGAGTTTGTTCTTTCTTTCTTTTTTTTTTATTTAATTAAGGCTAGAGAGTAATAAATAAAAAAAACTCTATATGGATTGTCAGAGCAAAAATATACTCCGGTTAACAGAAAGACCCAATTTGCTACTTTACTCTTCAGTTTAAATGCTTGCCCAAAAATAAAATTTAAAAAAAAAAAAAAAAAGAAAGCTATCTTTAACCAAAAAAAAATTGAATCATCAAATTCTTTGGACCCATATTTTTTTTTTTAGTCCAAATTAATGAAAAAAAGATTTCATTTTTACTTCTTTTCATGAGTTTAGGTCTTAATAATAATCTGAAGAAAAGCCATATAACTAACAACCAAAACATGATGAAAATGAGATTAGATATATTAATAAACTAATATTTATTTTTGTTTTGTCTTTATGAATTTGTAATATGTAAATAATAATAATAGTTATAATAAGGGCATATATACATACCTAGTGCTACCAAATTCATAAAGCTTCCCCCTGCTAGAGAAGATGATTAGGGCAACCTCAGCATCACAAAGTACTGATAATTCATAAGCTTTTTTCAGCAGCCCATTTCTTCTCTTTGAAAATGTCACTTGCCTGTTTATTTTGTTTTCTATTCTCTTTAGCTCAACTCTCCCCCTTCCCATTTTTTCCTTTTTTTTTTTATTTTAATTTTGAGAAAAACAAAACACACAATAAAAGTGTATGTGTGTGTGTGTGTGTGTGTGTGTGTGTTGATGTGGTTCTATATATATATATATATACATAGTGCAAGAAAAAATTTGTTGGGAAGACTTATATGGGTTGAATGAGTGTGTAATAAAAAATTATTATGGTAAGTACTAAGTACTGAAATTCTTGATTTTTTTTTGTAATAATAATATAATATAATAAATATATATGTGTGGGTTTATTTTTTTTTCATATTTTTTTCCTCTTTCAAGAAAATGGTAATATATATCACACAATTGTTCTCTTTGTTCATTTATTTCCATATTTTGCCTAAAAATTGTGTAGAAATATTGGTGCTGGTCATGCAACCTGAAAATTAATGTCACTAGCTATTTTTTATTTTTTATTTTTTTTTTAAATTTTATTTCCATTTGTTATGTATAAAAAATTAATAGACCAGAAAGCCTTATATATTATATATTCTTTTCTTATGTGATAGTGTGTTTTTTTTTTTTCTTTTGGAGTAAAGACTGATAGTGTCACGCACCTGCTGAGCTCATTGAATGATAATAATAGTAACTATGAAAATATAGTTAAGCAAAGTAGAAGTTGCTACTTATGTGCAAAATTTTAAAACCGAAAAATTGCAAAAATAAGTAGAAATATGTTATATTTTTTTATTTTTTTTTTAGAATTTAAATATTAAAAGTGGGGTTGGAGGTGCCCATGTGAAAATGGGGCTTAATATGGATGTTTACATTGATTTGGACAACATAGAAGAATGTCTTTGATAATATTAACCTTAACATGTTACTTTTGGCCCTTTTTTTTTTTTTTT